ATCCTATGGTGGCCCTGTAGGGACAACACACATCTAAATTTCTTCGCAGATTTCTACAATGTCGCACATTTTTTTTTTGCACATTTCTGCGATATTGCGCATTTTATCTCAAAATCTGCGCAGATTTCTGCAATGTTACACATTTTATCGCAGAAAAAAATCTGCTCGGATTTCTGCGATGTCGCACATTTTTATCACAGAAATCTGCCAGCGGAGATTTTTGCGATGTCGCACATTTTATCGCACATTTCTGCGAAGATTTTTGCGATAAAATGCGCCATATCGCAGAAATCGGTGCAGAAATGTACGATAAAAGGTGCCACATCGCAGAAATCTGCGATAAATGTGCGGCGTCGCAGAAATCTGCGCAGATTTCTGCGTTAAATGTGCAATATCGCAGAAATTTGCCGAGAAATGTGCGATAAATGTGCAATATCGTAGAAATTTGAGCAGAAATGTGCGATAAAATGTGCGACATCGCTAAAATCTCGATGTGTGATGTCCCTTCAGGGGCACTAGGCGACTGAATGGTAGCTCGACGACTACCGTTCTCGAGCAGTGTAGAAACAAGCAGTAGGTAGAGACTGACAGGGCAGCCGAAAGACCATGATATAATATGCAGGAACATTTTGAAGGAATTTATTAGCCCGGTTCATACTTCACGCGAAAGCATGTGCAAGCGAAACTCATGTCATCAACAATGGTGGGCCGGTGCGCTTCGAATGTATTGTTGACGTCACGAATTTCGTCTCGCTTTCGCTTTCGCGTGAAGTATGAACCATAGAGAGTGTTAACAAATTTCCCATAGATATAGAATAAAAAGACTAGATCAGAAGCGTGTATACGCGCCATAGAGTGTGCACAAATTTTCCATAGAAATAAAACTTAAATAACTAGATCGGACGCGCGTTCGAACGCGCCATTCACTGTGCACAAAAGTTTTGGGTTCTTCATGGACGCGCTGCAAAGTCACGTGAATAGGGCCACGCGCAAAGGGCAGCTGGTGAATGCTGGACGTAAAAATATCGCCAAAACCTGGGGTGCGTTTTGGCGGACATAACCAAGAAATGGTTCGGTGGTTTCTTGTCTGTGAATTTCTTCAGCAATAATAATTGGGTTAGAATTACGCATGATCATGTAGTACTCAAATCCCCAAAACAATTAACCAAAGAGAAACCACCGAACCAATTTTTGGTTAGGACCGCCAAAACTCACCCCTGAATTCATGCAGCTATTCGTTGAAGTTCTTAACAACAGATTGACATTTTTAACTACGATTTTTGACAGTTCACATTCCTTTGAAAAGTTACACATGGGTTTGCCTCTGTGTCTTATTTTGGGCCAACTTGGTGACTGTGCGAAGGCAAATGTCAAAAGCGTAGTCAAATGTCAATCTGTTTAATGAGATTTTCCCCTCTTTTTCAAAATGTGCAATAAATGTCAACCGTTACCTGCCATCAGACAAAACATAAACTTCTAATTTTACCAACATCAAAATGAAATAACAGAAAATCATTTTGTAAATGAGCAACGATAAAAACACGCACTCGAAATATTATGTTGCATTATCTGCGAACCTCAATAGGAACATTACATTTGAAATGAATGGATGGCTACAAAAACAAGTCTCTGGCTGTCTGTTGTGAGTACTGAACACACTGATACTAAATAACTTTCAGATAATAAACAATGTAAACTTACTCGTTAGCTAATAAATACACTGATGACATGGCAGTTCCATATCCATAGCCATTAATCAAGATGTCAAGAATGTCATTGCTCATGAAAAAAATACATTAGGTTGTCACCATCCGCATATTGTGGTCTAGCCTATGCAACTACCAGCAGGTGAGTGCTTCTCATAAATTTATGAACCAGAATGAGTAATTTCAATATATCTTCCTCATATGCATGAACGCAAAAAGACATTTATTTAATCTTTCAATTTCTGAGGAGCAACAGTAAGACGATAACGAAATACTGACTTGTTAGATTTTAGCTATGGTCCACGCATGAGGCACAGTTACGCGTGGTCAGCTATCACCTCACTGCACGCACAGTCAGCAGTGCAATCTTCTTTCTGACGAAGACGTACGCTTTCGTCGAGCAGTGCAAACTTCTTCATCTGTTCACCATGACTGTGATTCGTTGAGCAAGGCGTAGTTTTCCCAGCTCCAGCAAAGTGAATTCCAATTGCAGAATATGAAACTGTGTTTCCATCTGGTCGGCCGTCTCTGGAGTAACAAGTTGCTTCTCTTTCATGCCTTTTACCACCCGTCTTTTTGGACATGATCGTCGATTTTCCTGCCGGAGTTGTCTGTTTTCCTGTTCAAGCTTGGATATATAGCCTTCCTGCTACTGCCGAGTGTAGATCCATTTCTGGTGGTAGACTGTATGCATGCTATATCGCTGATGTTTGTTTTGCCGATACAGCCTGCACTGAAGCAACACTTCGACGGGGCTTGGGTCTGTTCTTTCCATGCCGTTGGCAGCTTTTCTCTCTCGTGCTGAAGTCCATACACGCGACTGAAGTCTTTCTACGAAATAAAACAAATAAAGCACATAATTGGCCTTTAAATACATGACAATAATTATCGATAGTGTATCCTGACCCCAAGGCTCATTGTAACACTTACAGGCTTCAAATGAGTCAGGTAGTCTTCAAAGATCATTGACGGTACGGCATCGTCACGCAGACGTGTCCCCCCCCCCCCTTCCACCTTGAAGCACTCTGCAGGGAAATGGTCGCTGCAAAGACGATAGTGCTTTGTTGGATTCCATTTGCTGCCATTTGGAATATTTCTCCTAATCCGCTGCAGTCAAACTTTTAATCTCTTTAGATCGCCGTTGGGGAACCTGGGAAGTAAAATTAATAAGCCTCGATTGAATTTTTTTGTAGTTTTAGCAAAATGCACACATTTTTGTAGGACTTTATCCTTCAAGATGTACAATCCGTGTCCTCCAAAAAAAAAAATGAAAAGGAGATGGGAGTTGCCTAGATACACTTTACACTACAGATCATTTATTAAAATAAAAAAATGACGGATCATCAAATACGCCTTGAAATTGTTCTCAGTGCAAACGTCATTGAGTGTGTTCAAACTAGGGGAATGGTACATTTTCTTTAATCACACACATCCCACAACAAAAAGTGACTCCAAATCCTCGTTCCCCCGCGGACTATTGAAAACCAGGAGAGGAGAGGGGCGACGTTAGGCCAGAACAATTGTTAGTCGATGTTCAGGATTAGGAGTACCATCTTAAATTTTAAAACAAAATTATACTGCCAGGGTTTTAAGTAGGCCCTGCGTGGTTATTACAAAATTCGGAGGATCCTTTGGATCACACATGGGGGATTTTTCTCCACACCCATTCCTGTGATTTATGTCCATTCGCAATGCGTATAAACGTAGCCTATATTATTGAGTTAATTGTTATAACAGCTGTCTTGTTCGAAATACAGTCTCAAGAGATAAATTTCTATGTATTAAGTTACTCACACATGATGTTAACTTCTTGAGAGACTGTCCTCCGGGACCCTTTCTCCGTCCCTGTTGCACTTCGCTGCTGCACAGTTTGCCACCATTTTCAAGTCCAATAAGTGATGGAGAAGTACATGAAAGTACAAGTGATCGTCACGCCGAAGAAATGCGCGTTTAAATTTTTGACCCTATTCACGTGACTAATGGCAGCGTCCTGTCAAAACGCGCGTATCATACGCGCGTCTGATCTAGTTTTTTAAGTTCTATATCTATGAAATTTTCCCGTTCCCGCACGGACGCTCTACGCGTAGTAGTGCGTGGGGCAAAACGTGCGTTACGCGCACCTACATTCCCGTAGGTTTGTGCACAAACTATGTCCGTCAAAGTAACATTTTCTTACCAGTAGTTATCATATATCCAAACAAATTCAATATGCATTTTCAAGCTGGGTAGATCACCTCGAAGTTTGCTCCATTTCCCCGTGTAATTATTGTTTGTTTCAAAATTGGTGGTGCCCGTTGCTAAAAATTGTTTCAAACAATGAAAAGGAAAAATTAGAATGTAAAAACTGCTTTAAAATAACCGTTGAATTAGTTAAGAAAATTGTGAAATTTTGCAATGGAAGATTTTAGAGATCTGTGTTACAATTATTATTCTTTTTGGGATGAGAACAATTTACTTGGATTGCATTTTATATGTGTGACTTTTAATGGCAATAATATTGCCCCTGAAAACCGTTTTAAGAATGAAATAAAATTACACTCCCGTAATGAATGTTAGTGAAGGGCTGGGGCGGGGCGTGCAAACCCGGCCCTTCCTGTATCCAACAGTACAAAACTGCATCTGATATACGGCATATGTTATAGCCTGAGGAGGGACAATGGAGAAAAAATATTCTGGCTGTTGTCCCTTAAAAGCTGCCGTGAATTTAAATTAAAGGACAGCGCAACAACTGCAGGAATATTATTTTTGTTGATGAAAAAAATAAAACACAAACAACACGCACCAGCATTTTAAAACGGAAAATAAATACGAGAAATAAAATGGATCAAACTTCGAAATGAACGTGCAGCTTGATAACCCATATTGAATTTTGTTGGGGAAATAACTACTGTTTATATTAGCGGGCCTTGAAGCGCGCGCGCCTGGCGCACGCACGCCTTTGCGCGTGTGCGCAGCAGTTACAAAATAATTGTTCGATTTCATATCAGTTTCTTCATTGTTTTTTTTACATGTTTGTGAAAAAACCATCGATCAAATAGAAGTGTGCTACAAATGTCAACAAAGTCGAAAGTTAATTGAAGTACCATTTATTGATTTGTTCATTTACAAACTGTGCATGGATATTTATGACCAAAATATGATGTAAATATTGTAGCTTAATTGGAACTTATCGTAATGTTCCTATTGTTTTACATATTTATTATTATAGATTAAACGAAGTCATCACCCGCCGTGTGAGTTTGTGACAAAATCTTTGTAGCACAAGCCGCAGTCATCGGTATCTTCTACAGTTTAATGACTGATGGTGCCGTCGGAAACACTAGTATTGGCGCTAACGCTAAGCTCAATCGACTCTTCCAGTTCTGCGAAGGAGAAGCTTTGGCAGTCATCCGTTGTTGCGCCATGATGCAGCCGGATGAAGGTTACGCCAAGGCCAAAGAACTGCTTCGAGAGCGTTTCGGAAATGGTTATAGAATTTCCGAGACCTGGGTAAGAAGACTTACAGAAGGTCAACGGATCATGCCAGGAGACTGCAGAGCCGTTCAGAAAATGGCGGATGAATTGAGAAGCTGTACACTTGCACTAAAGGCTATGGACAAGTTGGACGAGATCGATACCAAGAGGAGTCTAGCTTTAATTGTGAAGAGACTCCCACAGTACCTCCAGTCGAAGTGGCGTTCCATGGCAGTGCAGCACCTCGATGAGACCGGTCGTTACCCTAGCATCGACAAGCTTTGGAAGTTTACCAGCAAGGACACTCGGGAAGCGGTGATACCGTTAAATCCCCCGACGTGTACCGCATGGCAGTACACCTGTTTGGAGGCGTGTGGAGCCCCAGTTTTGCCAACGTTGCCCTCAGACGGACGGCAGAAGATAATGTGGACGACTTCAATGCCGATGTTCTGGCTACAGTGAAGGAGAACTTCTACGTGGACGACTGCCTGAAGTCCCTAGATTCCGAGGGTGAAGCAGTTGAGACGGTGAAGCAGTTGACTGACATACTGGCGAAGGGAGGTTTCCGCCTGACAAAGTGGATTAGCAATAGCAGAAGAGTAAATGAATCCGTGCCGCCGGAAGAGAGAGCAAAGGGTGTCAAGAACCTTGATCTTAGTCAAGAAGAGCTACCTGTTGAGAGAGCGTTGGAAGTCCATTGGGATACTGAGCACGACTTACTCAGAATGAAGATCAAGTCAAAACATGGTAGTCAGACAAGAAGAGGCTTACTGAGCGTCATCTGTTCAGTGTATGACCCATTGGGGTTTGTTTTCCCGTACATCCTTCGGGCGAAACTCCTCTTTCAGGACGAGTTCCAAATCGTTGGCAAGAGCTGGGATGATCCTTTAGAGGCCGAAACTCAGGATCACTGGGCGAAGTGGTTAGATAAGCTTTCTCTTTTAAAAGAGTTTGCTGTTGAAAGATGCCTCGTGCCAAGCAACTTCGGAGAGATAAGTGAATGCCGTTTGCATCACTTTTCAGATGCCTCTCAAGATGCGTGTGGGAGTGTATCTTATGCTCGTTTTGTCAATTCTGCGGGAGAAATCCACTGTAGTTTTCTGATAGGAAAATCACGCCCGGCACCTTTGAAGACGATGACGATACCCAGACTGGAGCTTTCTGCAGCAGTAGTAGCTGTAAAGATGGAGCAGATGCTACGAAGGGAGCTGAAACTGAACGTCTGCGGGTCCACGTTCTGGACTGACAGCATGCTTGTGCTGCAGTACATCAAGAACACATCAAAGCGCTTACACACGTTTGCAGCCAACAGGGTGGCTGTCATACATGATGGTTCATCTGTTGACCAGTGGCGATATGTAAATACGGATCGAAATCCTGCTGATGACGCATCGAGAGGTCTGGACGCGCACAACATGATCTCCAAAGACAGGTGGAGAAAGGGACCAGAATTCCTCTGGCAGGATGAGAAGAGTTGGCCAGCAACTCCTCAAACTCCAAATCTTCTCGAGACGGATCGGGAAGTGAAGAAAGTAGCAGTGACACGAGCTACGGGAGGCGCAGTGACAGCTGATCCTGTGGCAAGACTTATCAGCAAGTATTTCAGTTGGAACCATCTAAAGAAGGCTGTGGCGTGGGTCCTGCGTTGCAAGAAGTGGTTGATTGAACGCAGATCTCGATCCATATGGAGTGGAAATCGACTGACCGCAGCAGAGATGGATGATGCAGAACTTGCTGTAATAAGATACGTGCAAAGAATCAACTACGAGCAGGAGATCCGAGACTTAGAGAAAGGGAGACGTTCAGTCCAAAGGCAAATTTCCATCTACAGTCTTGAGCCAATTATCGATGACAACGGTGTTCTGAGACTAGGTGGTAGGCTCAGACAAGCGCCCGTAGAGGCGAGTCGAAAGTTCCCTTCGATTCTACCTAAGCATCATCATGTGTCAACCCTGATTGTTCGTCATGCACATGATACCCTGTTGGGTCATTCAGGCAAGGAACATGTACTCTCTGTGGTGAGACAGCAGTATTGGATTCCGAAGGCCCGGTCACTGATCAAGAATATCTTGAAGGCATGTGTTGTCTGCAAGTGACTGCAGGGAACACCACAGAAACAACGGATGGCAGATCTTCCCGAATGCAGAGTTACTCCAGGAAAACCTCCATTCAGTTATGTGGGTTTTGATTGTTTTGGGCCTTTCTATGTGAAAAGTGGTAGGAGTAAAGAGAAACGCTATGGATTTCTCTTCACGTGCCTCTCCACAAGGGCCACACACCTTGAGAGTCTCCATTCACTGGAGACAGATTCATTTCTGAATGCCTTCATGAGGTTCGCAGCTAGACGAGGTACACCAGAGATAGTGCTCTCTGACAACGGAACCAACTTTGCCGGAGGCGAGAAAGAAATAAGACAGGCCATCTCTCAACTCGAGAAGGATAGTCAGTTGTGAAGCACATTGAATGGAAGCTCAATCCACCTGCAGCTTCGCACATGGGTGGTGTCTGGGAACTGCCAATACGGACCGTACGGAAGGTGCTAGGAGCACTTCTGAAAGACCAAGTTCTAGACGACAAGCGCCTGAGTACCATGTTTTCTGAGGCCGAAGCCATAGTCAATGATCGGCCAATCACCGCTGTCTCTGACGACCCGAATGATTTGGAGGCCCTCACGCCGAGTCATCCGCTCAAATTCAGACCTGGGCATCCAATGCCATTGAGTGGTTTGACGGACGGAGACAAATACCGGAAACGATGGAGACATGTTTAGTATTTGGCAGAGAGGTTTTGGAATCGATGGATTTCCGAATACTTACCAACCCTGCAGCGGCGGCAAAGATGGATTGAGCCACAAAGAAACATCAAGTCAGGCGATATTGTGTTGGTCAGAGACGACAACACTACTCGAGGCCAGTGACCATTGGCACGAGTAACGAGGACTTTCCCTGGCGTAGATGGACTGGTACGCACAGTGGAAGTTCTGACACGTGGTGGCATCCTCAAGAGGCCAATAACCAAACTTTGCCTTCTAGAAGGCGAACTGGATAGAAGATATCAACAACTGAGTTATACTCTACCAATTATAACTTAAGTTTTGTTTTGTTTTTTGGATTTCTGGTTGACTGAACATTCGGAAAGAATTTGAATCACTTTAGCCTTTTGTTGGGGTATTTTAAAATGTTAAACTGCATAAATTTGGTTATTATAATATTAATTGTTATTAATTGACTAGTGGTTAATTGAATGTGTAAATGTTGGCCTGTAGAGCAACGTTTAAGGGGCCGGGATGTTTATGTTAAAATTATTTGTCAGCGGACGTTGAAGCGCGAGCGCCTGGCGCACGCACGCCTTTGCGCGTGTGCGCAGCAGTTACAAAATAATTGTTCGATTTCATATCAGTTTCTTCATTGTTTTTTTTTACATGTTTGTGAAATAAGCATCGATCAAATAGAAGTGTGCTACAAATGTCAACAAAGTCGTAAGTTAATTGAAATACTATTTATTGATTTGTTTATTTACAAACTGTGCATGGATATTTATGACCAAAATATGATGTAAATATTGTAGCTAAATTGGAACTTATCGTAATGTTCGTATTGTTTTACATATTTATTATTATAGATTAAACGAAGTCATCACCCGCCGTGTGAGTTTGTGACAAAATCTTTGTAGCATAAGCCGCCGTCGTTGGTATCTTCTACAACTACTACAGGTCAAAAATATTACTTTTACGGACATAAAAATATATCTTTCCATACAAACCTACCGGAAAAAAAAAGGTGCGCGTAACGCAACTTTTGGCCCACGCGCTAAAAAAATGGCGCCGCCCATGGCAGAACGTGCGTCTGTACGCACTGCCGATCTAGTCTTTTTATTCTATATCTATGAAATTTCCCCGTTCCCGCATGGACGCTCTACGCGCAGTAGTGTGCAAAAAACGGGGCAAAACGTGCGTTACGCGCACCTACATTCCCGTAGGTTTGTGCACAAACTTGCATTTTTATGTCCGTAAAAGTAACTTTTTTTGACCAGTGGTTATTATGTCTCTCACAAAATTAAAATTGTGTATAAAAACATTGTTTTAAACAATGAAAAAGAAAACGTAGAATGTATAAACTGCTTTAAATTAGAGTTGAATTATTTAAAATTAAAATTGAATTGTTTAAATGGATGATTTTGGAGATTTGTGTTACAAGATATTATTATCTTTTGCGGGATGAGAACAATTTACTTGGATTGTAGTTTATATGTAGGACTTTTAATGACAATATTGCCCCTGAAAACCGTTTTAAGAATGAAATTAAATCACACTCCCATAATGTTCCAGCCTTCTGAATGCATTGGCTGATTCGAACCTTTTGGGAGGACGGCTTGAGGGGTACGGATGATGGGTGTGTTTATTTCGAAAAAGCGTCTTGGATATTTGGCCTCAATTTGACGCTAAGAGTGGTGGCGTGAACAGGCTGGGAGGGGGGGGGGCATTGGTAGATGGCAACATCATGAAGATCTTAAAAGCGAGATCGGGAAAGCCGATAGAAGAGAAAGTGGGACATTGAAAGTTACATTTTGCAACGGCAAAGAAAACCACCGCTGCTCATAGGGAAACGAGATGGGTAAACCGTACGAACGATTTAAAAAATAAAGCCTAAAGTTTTTTTACATGTGCTCTACCCATTTTTCAACATTATGGGATTCTTGCGCCTTCTGGAAGATTTTCAGATGCTGGATCACTAGAGGAGAGACTAACTATGAGGAGGGACAATGGAGAAAATTATGTTCTGGATGTTGAAAATAGCACTTAAACAACAGGATGCAAGGTTTTTCTTAGCAACGCGCACCAGCATTTAAAATCGAGAAATAAAAACGAGAAATAAAATGGACCAAACTTCGAAATGAACATTTTGTTCTCCATTGTCCCTCCTCAGGATATGACATACGCCGTTATCAGATACAGTTTTGTACTGTTGGATACTGGGAGGGGGATGCACGCCCCTCCCCCAGCGCTTCACTAAAAAAATAGCTCAAATAAATTTGTGTGATTTTGCTCTCCTCTAGTGGCGTCTGCAGCATCTGAAAATCTTCAAGAAGGCGCAAGAATCTCATAATGTTGAACAAAATGGGAAGAGCACAATGTAAATGAACTTGAGGAGTTAATTAGGTTTTTTTAAATCGTTCGTAAGGATTACCCAATTCGTTTCCCTATAAGTAGCAGTGGTTTTGTAAATTTCTCGTTGCAAAATATAACTATAACCGTCCCGATTTCGCTTCTATCAGTTTTCCCGATTTCGGTCTTAAGATCTCCATGATGTTGCCATCTACCAGCGCCCCTTCCTCCCAGCCTGGTCACGCCACCGCTCTTAGCGTCTAATTGAGGTCAAATATCGTATCACCGATGCTTTTTCGAAATACATGTATGCTCAACAACACATTCATTATCCGTACCTCAGAAGCCATCTTCCCAAAAAGGTTCGAATCTGCCAAGCATTCAGAATTTAATTTTGTCCTTAAAACGGTTTTCTGGGGCAATTTTATTGTCATTAAAAGTCCTAACAATAAAATGCGATCCAAGTAAATTGTTCTCATCCCAAGAAGGATAATAATTGTAACACAAATCTCTAAAATCATCCATTGACTAAACATCTCCAAATTTTCTAAAATATTTCAACAGTAATTTATAGTAGTTTTTACATTTTACGTTTTCCTTTTCATTGTTTAAAACAGTGTTTTATACACATTAATAACATTTTATATAAGCTGACATTTATTTGGATATTTTTTTTCGGCAACGCGCACCACCATTTTAAAACGAAAAATAAATACGAGGGGAAATTGAGCAAACTTCGAGGTGACAACCCTGCTTGAAAATGCATATTGAATTTTGTTGGATGCATAATAATTACTGGTAAAAAAGTTACTTTTACGGCCGTAAAATGCAAGTTTGTGCACAAACCAACGGGAATGTAAGTGTACGTAACACACGTTTTGCACCACGCACTATTGCGCGTAGAGCGTCCATGACGGAACGGGAAAATTTGTGCACACTCTGTGACGCGTATGCACGGGCTGCCGATCTAGTCTTTTTATTCTATATCTATGGGCGCCGCCCATGGCAGAACCATAGACATATAATGGGACACGTTTAAAGTATGGGCGTAAATCGAAGCCACACGCATAGATATAGAATAAAAAGACTCTATATCTATGGCCACACGATAATTCGCGCATCGCGCCAAGCCGCGTGACGCAGCCCGTTTTGCTCACAGAATTTACAACGTAAAAGCAGTTAATCTCGTGTCTAGGTTTTATTATATGTCTATGGGCACAACGCGCGTCTGTACGCATTGCCGATCTAGTTTTCGATCTAGCACATCGGCGTGTGCGCGTAGTATAGCGAGTGCGCGCTCTAGTTTTTTTTTTTTTTAAAGCTCTATCGTACACGTGCATAACATTGCAATATATGTTACTCTGTACATCAATACCTGAAAGCTTCATTCACTCTGCTTGATTATTCTCGGAATTAGAAATGTCAAATAAAGGTATACCAGGTACATTTTGCTAAACAAAATATTCACATAACTGTTTTTTTGTGTGTGTTATGTTTCATCTTGCTCGCAACAGTCCATTGTTGTAGATGGCTGAGTTTATTCTGGCATGCTGAGAGTTTCATCATGATCAGTTAAGGCCTGGCTTAAATTCAGATCGTAAACGCATGCATAATGTTGTATCACAGGAATAGTAACAAAATCGATATTGATAATCACTGAAAAATTACTTGGTCCAATGTTGGGTCCCGTGAGGAAATCCAGCATGCAATATCTACCAGGAGCAAAGAGCACCGTTGAACCGAAAAGATTGCAAGCGATCTGAGAAAAACTACATAATCAAGGAAGTAAGGAAGTTATAGCCCCTAACGTGATCAATTTATTGACTCTTATCAAACAATATTGTGATCGACTCTGTTGTGATCGACTCTATCAAACGCTCAATCGAAGACACCGCAAATTAAAGATGAGCATGACCCTACATCTGCGATCATGCGCGATGGGTAATGGTGCTGGTCTGGTGATTGTGACGATTCCCCAGTTGGCAGAAGAACTTGAAGTGAATGGTCATGGTTTATATATAGGCGGGTTTGGCCACGGGGGCAAAAAGGGTAGGGGAATGTAACGCGATCTCAGCTTCCCCGCTGTCAAACTCATTAACGGTGCGACTACAGTTAAGATGAGTTAAGCTTCACCGTGCAGCACAAAAATAAATGTAATACAAGCCCATAACTTGAAAGCTTAATCAATGCCCCCAACTTTTCAGTGGAAAGGTAAATCATGCAGTCAATGAGCTTCGAATTGCGGCACTTTTAGGTTACAGGGTTAAAAAAGTACTTGTAAACCTTAAAAAAGATTGAGGTAATTTATTGATAAATGGACATAGCATTTTGCTCCTATCCTTCAACAACAGACTTTAATTTTTAATAATTATGCACTGTTTTAGCTTACTTGTACCACCAGTTTAAAATTGCGGTACATGATATTTTTACAATTTTTAATCCACGAATGTGCGCAATTTCTTACTCAAACGGTCAGTGTTTTTCTCGGAAAGTCATGTCGACGGCAGCTGCTTCCTTCCCCCCCCCCCCGCTTTGTTATGAAATCGGTGTCAAAATAATTGCAAGACATTTGTCTTAAACTTCTTGAAAGCTGGACACGAATTTGTGGAAGTGTGCTGGTTAAAATTAAAAATAACCCCTACACGGGCGTGGCTCGTACATGAAAA